TGGAATGTCCGTACAATGTACGAGACTGGCTGGGAAGGCTGCCCAGGTAGCCATAGAAATGCGAAGATATGGCATAGAAGTGTTGGGTATCTGCGAGAGCAGATGGAATGGATGTAGACTGTCAAAATCGTCAACTGGAGAGTCAGTGATCCACTCCAGTCTGGTCATCCAGACTACAACCACGACCACACTGAGTCAGTGAGTGGCTATCATGATGTCGCCAGCGGCAACTAAAGCCTAATGCAGTGGGAACCAATTTCATCATCCAGGATTATGACAGCAAGATTCAACTCAAAATGAAGGAAAGAAGGTCACAATTATCCAATGCTACAAACAACTCACGACAAGAGAAGAAGGAAGACTTTTACCGACAACTACAAACAGTGGTGAACAACATTCCAAATGGTGACATCAAAATCCTCATGGGAGATATGAATGCAAACCCAACTAGGAGCAGGTAATACGGGAAGAGAACTCATTATGGGTTCAGAGGCTCTGGCCTGGAGAAATGAACGAGAACGGAGAATGATTCTCAAACTTCCGTGCTTTCAGTGATTTGGTGATCAGAGGAAGAGTGTACAAACACAAGGATATACACAAAGCAACATGGATTTCGTCTGACGGACACACCACAAACCAGATAGATTTCATCTCAATGTTGCTAAAGGAATTGGACGTGCAGCCTGCTGGATACAAAGTCGAGAATGAGGGCAGATTTGAGCTCATATTATCATCGGGTTCAAGCATCCTTCAAGGTGAAGCTGAAATCCGTGGAAACAACTGGATACAGACCATTGTAGTTGAATTTCAACATTCAGAAACTGAAGGACAAAACTACAACAGATGCCCTCACTACAGATTACATCAGAGTAAGGTGGGATACAGTAGGTGGTGTCCTTGAGGAAACCTGCGTGGAAGAACATTGGAACTCTCTGAAGGCGATATCCAAGGAAACGTGTGCAACTGTCACGGGAAGAAAGAAGAGACAAGATAAGGGATGGCTCTCAACGGACACCTACCTGGCAGCTAATAGAAGAGAGGAGAGGAGGATGGTGAAAGAGATGACTCACTGCAAAGATGGGCAACAGAAGGGGAAGCTGAGTTCAATGTACACTTCACTGAATAAGGAAGTGAATAAGAGTGCCAGGTCAGATAAATGACAATTCTGTGGCACATTAGCTGGCAACTGAAGCAGAACAGGCAGGGAGCAGGTAAAAGAGATCTGAGAACTTTATTTCAGGAGGAGAAACAAATAAAACAATGGGTTGATCACTTTAAAGAACTCTTGAATTGACCATCACATGTAACTCGCTCAGAAATGCCAAAACCACCAACATCACACACAAAACTGCCTGCCAGTGGACACCAATCCTCCACCAAAAGCAGAAATCCGGAATGTTATCAAGCTCCAGAATTCCGGGAAGACAGCAGGACCAGACGGAATCTCTCCCCACACTGAAGCACTGAAAACGAGCACAGAAACTGCGCCAGATGTTCTCACGCCAGTATTGCAAAAGGTTTGGAAGGAAGGAAAGGTGCCTACCGAGCGGAAGAAATGCTGGCTACCTTGTCAAGCTACCAAAGAGGGGTGACTTAGGCCTGTGCAAGAACTGACTGGCGTGGAATAATGCTCTTGTCCACGCCAAGTAAAATACTATGTCGCATCATCCTTGAGAGAATAAATGATGCACTGGATGCAGAACTCCGCCAACCGAAACAAGCTGGATGCAGGAGAGGCACATCATGTGCTGATCAAATTGCAGCTCTATGCATCATCAATGAGCAAAGCATAGAATGGCAGTCAAACCTCTCTCTACCTCAACTTCATCGACTTCGGAAAGGCTTTTGACAGCGCTGACTGAGAAGTTATTCGGAAACTATTTCAACAATACGGCGTGCAGTGTTCAAGTCTTTATCAACCCCATTCAAAAGCTGACTGTATGACAATCCCACGTGTCAGGTGATCCACAACGGAAAACTCAACGAGACGTTCGAAGTACATACAGAAGTGAGATGTGGCAGTCTGCCTATTAACACCTACGATGTTATCCTTAATTGTGACGGACTGGATTATACGTCAGACTGTGATTGAGAAGCGAGGAGACAGGAATATGCTGGATCAATTATAATAAGACTCTAGAAGATCTGGAGTTCGCATGTGGACGATTTATGTTTAATGTCACACAAACTCCAAAACTTACAGGCAAAAAACAACAAACTGGCTGAGGAAGCAGGCAGCTAAGACAGGACTGCATGTGAACATAGACGGAGGTGGTGAAGATAACCAACGAACCGCAACAGCAACGACAGCAACCAGCACCAGTCACAATCAAAGGGAGAGATTTAACGGAGGTTACCTCCTCTATTTATCTAGGAACTATCGTCTCAAATACAGGCGGAACGGATGAAGATGTCAAAGTCAGAGTCGGAAAGGCAAGATGTGCCTTCATCAACCTGAAACCAGTTTGGAAATCTTCTCCTGTCACTCAAAATAAGGAACAAGATTCGGATTTTCAACACCAATGTCAAGTTGGTCCTTCTATACGGGTCAGAAACTTGCACTGCGTGTCAGTCATGAAAAGGATTTCCAAGAGGTTGTAGACTTTCATCAACAGCTGCCTTCGCCAGCTCCATACCGAAGGCCAAATGGCCAGTCAGCCAGAAAGAGTTAGCAACAAGAAACTCTGGCTGAGAACAAACCAACCAAGAGCCGATCGCTCAAAAAATTTATAGGAGAAAGTGTAGATGTATCGGGCAAACATTGAAGCCATCGCATGACATCGCGCTCAATGCAGACCATCGCTCGAGTTGAATCCGAATGGGAAGCAATGAGTGGGTCGTCGGTGCGAGGGTGACATGGAGGAGATCGTGCGAGGAGATGAGATATAATGGTCAATCGTGGTCCAAGCTGAAGAGGACGGCAGAGGATAGGACAAAGTGAAGATGTGTTGTTGAAGCCCTATGTTCCACTTAGAACCCAAGGGAATTGTAATAATAACGATAGACAAGGTAAGGAGAGTGGCTTTACGAATTTCTTTTGAATACACAGGTTTGGCTTGTTAAGGTGGATTCCGATGACCTCAACTATATGTATAGAACGAACTTGTCAAGCGAAATTAATATTAGTCAGAATGAGATAAATAACTTTTAAATGCTTTATTAATATCAGCTTTATACCCACTAACTACAAGGTGTGCTAAAATACAGCCACGTGTAGATCTTGTTTGTCCCTTGCTTAACCATGCCGCATTTTGTTTGGAAATACCATGGTAAACCTGTCTAACTGTACTCCCAATGTAGCTGGCTTTGTAGTTTCAGTCAAACTGGTAGATACACATAGGGGAGGCTAAATTAGGTCGTTTTTGCTTATTTCTCGAACATAGAATAGGGGTGGCAGTGAAGAGACAATGCACCTCTGCAGCATTAGAAACTCTTTTAACTTCATTCTTCAGGCACTGTATTACTATTTTGCTGATGTTACCAAGGAGAAAGTGAAGTTTAATGAACAATGGGTTTCTATGAAGCTGCTGCCATACTGGCTCTTCTTGGTGCTAAATTCATCTTTTTATCGATGAAGTTATCGACACAATCATTTTCACTTAGTAATTCTCTGATAATCTTAAGCTCGTCATTGAGGGAATCGTTTGAGAATTACTCAGTAAAAACGCAACAGCCAGCAAACGATAAAATTAAATTCTGAGTGATGACAGCCTCCTTTAGCCTAACGCCGCAAAAGGTTAAAGGAAATAATTTTCCTACAAATCATCAGGATGTAGGCTGACCAGGGGGAAGACACAATTCAACATATTTAACAATCCGCCTATGCCGAAGACGGCGTAAACTAGCATATGCGAAACTAGCCTTCTGTATCCGTACTGAGATTTCGTCAGCGATCAACCCGTTGGCGTTAGCTGATGCAACTCCCCAAATAAGTGAAGTGGTCAACGTGCTCTACTGCTTCACTCCCTATTTCTAAGCTAGGAGTCAGTGTTATCCTGTGTTTCTATCCCATTAAGGGAGGTGTTGGATGTTCGGTAAGTTAAGCTTGGCTGTAAGCCAGTTAAACTGCTCGTCAAAGTGTCCTTTCCAGCGTTCCAGTCGTCTATCCTGGGAGCTAATTATGGTGCCATTTTCCTCAGAGATTGTTTCACTTATCGTCTGCCTTTTACCACCTGTTTCCCTGATAAGTCTAAATAGTCGTCTGGTGTTACCGGTCGCCAATGCCTTTTCCATCTCTTTCGATTTAGTCGCTCACCACTGATCACGGTCGTTTCGAAGGCTTCTTGGTAGTTTGCGTTTGAGAAGCTTTCGCTCCTCATGATAATCGGAGCGCACCGTAGTCAGTCTCCTTGCGTCAATCAGTTCGGATAAGACGGTAGAAATCCAATGTCTCTAACTAATTTTTAGTTTGCCGAGAAAGTGTGTTATACTAACCGATGGAAACCTTTCTTGTCTGTCATTCTTCGATTTAACAATTGGTAGACTGGTGGGTGTAAGTTTGGTGGATTGCAGTGTCGTGGGAAATGTTTTGGTACCAGGGTCTGATTTAATTGAAGACTGACATGATACCTCCTGAGCAGAACTCTGGGTATGTTTGTCAACTTTTACGTGTGCTTCTGAGAAGTGTGAGGACTCGAACTGCTGCACTTTTGCGTAAAGTTCTACGTTGGAAATTCAGTCAACTTCAGATTCTCCCATTAGGTTACAGGTTCAAATGTCATTGCTTCTATTCTTTGAGTGAAGTCACTATAGATTTCACGAGGTTGTGTATTCATTTGGCTTTCATGCATGGAGTTGATTTTGTTTTAATTTTTCGCATAGATAGTTTGCGTGATAAAAAACTCTTTCAATTGATATACTTGCATTTATTCATATTTTTGTGACATTTGTGTATTTAGCTGTATCTGTGATTGTACCATATGTAAAATAACCCATCAATGTATCCATGTTTGCCTTTATAGGCCCATCAATCTAATCGTGTTTGTAATGCACTCGCTCTTATGCAGTGCTTGGCATCGCATCCAGAAACCAGGAAGGAGTTTCTGAAGGCCAACATACCTCTGTACCTGTATACGTTTTTGAATACAAATAATCAAACGCGTCCATTCGAGTACTTAAGGTTGACTAGCCTTGGAGTGATTGGTGCACTTGTTAAAGTGAGCGTTGTTTCTTATGCACTTCAAAACATCATATTTGCGAACGTTTTTGTGAATTGATGAAATATTCTTTAAAAAGTTAACTTGTATCATCTGGTTAGTGCTTGATTGATTTACAAAAGCTCGTTGAAATTTGACTATCTTTTGTACTTCTAGCTTCAAAGCTTTACTTTTGGAAAGTAAGTCCACAACTTTCGGATCACGTAACGAAATAAGTGAAAATGGCTCCTATTCGTCAGTTATAGGTGTGAGTTTTGATCTTTATCTTCTTGGGCTTTCCTACAATAAGACCGATTTATTAGTTTACTTGGCGAAACACAATAATAGCGTTATTTATTTACTGATAATATTTCAAACTATACTCCAGCACGGTGCTCGAATTCTCCTGCACTATATTCTTTTCAAAAGAAGTGAGCCCTACCCGGATTTGGTTTGCTGAGAAGCTTTTCCACCGGGTTCCGAATGTAATTGAAAAGGAGAAAACTGTGACAGTCGAATTACTGACTGGTTCACATATCAGTTGCATATGTTATTTCCCCAACTTTGCTACCACGTCTTCATTTTATGTTATTATCCTGGAAACTAAACTTATCATCACGTTTATAATCTACTGCGAAATTGATACAGAGGTGAGCTTCACTTAGCTTTTCAAATATTTTGGATACACGGTTTGTATTTCCGCACATAACATACATGCAGTAACGTACAGTCTTCTATTTATGGTTTCAGTAATGTTTCTACACTGTGAGGAAGGGTAACAGAAGTAGGTCAGTGTCAAAGCCATAGCCATTCCATTAGCTTACCAGTACATGTTGGTTGTTGAAAAGCAGTAGTTGTCTCAACTTATTTTCAGTAAGAGCAAGTAATCCCTGTTGGCGTATAGTTTGAACGTCGCATTCACGAGTGCGCTTATGAATATTAGATAGAAATCGTATGATACTAAGAGTATTCATGCTATGCAGTTGTAAAAATGTTCCGAGAGATTGTGAACTGCCAAATGTCTTCACATGAGTCCCGTCTTTTGTGACAACTATCAAAGTAGCTTGTTAAATGATAAAGCATCAGTAAAATAATGGATATCTAGAGCCCATCTGATTTGTAAAGTTAGGTTGGACTATCCATAGGTAGTTCCATATTAATTTGTTCATTAGATATGTCACATACTTGAGCATTTACTGGGTGACGTTTCGAACACAATTTATTGTCCATGGTATCAATTATTATATGATATATCTAGCAGGCGAATTAATATGGAATTGCTTGTATCCACATGTGCAGTTTCGAGATCGAATCGACTGTATTCTTGTGTTCATTTAAATAACAGTCGCGTTTTAAACATGACAGTTAATTATCAGGAATAAACTTTCTGTCTGAACGTTAACTCTATGTTTGGTAGAAAATTTTGTCTGTGATGTTGAAATACTTTCTTTACTGTTGTGGATTTTCTGAGATAACTACCATAATATTTAGCAGTCTACAGGTGTAAATCATGAAATGAAGTTAATGCAGTTTATTTGATAGATTATAAATTGGACTATCAGAGCTGGTCAGCTGATATCCTGAAGTTCGGATGTCTATGCAATGACTCGACACACGATTTGGCTATGCAACATCAGAGGTATTCTGGTGTAAAGAATGAGTTTTGAAAACAACCTGTTAACAGGTAGTGACCACAGAGTTTATTTTAGTCTGCTCTCTCGCTGTTTTACAGCATAGGTTTACTGCTTCATGTGATTGGAAATGGTGTCTTTTCGTGTTAAATCCATTTCGGTAAGGACGGGTGCAAAAGTGATATGATATTTAGACCAAATCGTTGATACAGTGATTGGATAAGTTAGTAAGAATTTGTAGAATATGATTGGTAATCACTCATTTAAATTAGAATCGCTTTAGTGTGAACCAAAAATGTTGATATGAAAGACGAAAGCGTCATGTAAAAAAATAGGTGAAACCCGAAACACTGGTCACTCAAAACGTGTTATTAGTGGTTCTTTAGAAGCACCCAGTGTTTGGAATGAATCAGACTGTTTTAGCTATACAGCATTCCCGTGATGAGTAGTGGTTAGAAACATTAGTAATTCAGAAGCACTATTTCCTTAATCTACAATTTCCTTTCCCTTTCAGACGGATGAACCAGAGGTCATAGCATTTCTCCTGGGGTCGGAAATTATACCTCTTTGTCTGGTAATCATGGAGTCAGGAAGTGAACTGAGTAGAACTGTGAGTTTTGCGTCTTCCAGTCAATCATGTGTTGAAGTGCATTTAGGAAAATCATTAATATATCAGTGTAGCAATTCAGACTAGACTTTACAATTCGAATGGAAGAAATTGGACATCTTCTGTTAGTGTTTCACTGTTGTTTATGCAAAATACTGTTGTATCCTGGAAATTTCCCACAGTTCTGTGAATATCATTTAAACAGCAGATGAAATGACATTTGTCGTTTGCAGTTCTGATTTATTATACAGGAGTGATGTGATTCAAAATCCAATTAGGATAGAGTTAACTGTTGATCACATGATTTGGTTGCCTAGGTATTTGTTTTACAAAGTACTTATTTTGTTAGAAATGTAAAAACGTGAAGTTCACATTAGACGACATCATTATGTATGTGACTATTTCACATTGGTTATACCACCTGCAAACTCCACGTCACTAATTCATTCCTCTATATCCTTGTAAACAATCTAGGTGGCGACCTTCATTATGCAGAAGCTTCTTTTGGATGAAGTCGGCCTGGCGTACATCTGTCAAACTTATGAGCGTTTCGCTCACGTAGCTACTGTTTTGGAAAAAATTGTGATCGACTTGGCTAGAGAGCAGTCATTACGCCTTTTGAAACACGTGATTCGGTGCTACCTACGTCTTTCAGATGATTCGCGGTAAGTGTTTTCAGCCTAACAAGCAGGGTTATGCTTACATTGAAAAATGTCGTGTAATCATTTAAAGTACAGAACTATAGTACAGTACTATACGTTTCTTGTACCCGTTTTCTGCATAATATTGTTAGGACGGACAACATAATGTCAGCGATAAAGTCATGGTTGAAGCAATCTATGGGATATTTGATTGGTTGCAGGATTTCGTCATGCACTGACATTGGTTAGAGAAGCATTGGAACACCTGGGAGTACTAGACAGCTGTTTCGTCCTGTTGTGGTTGTTGTTTTTGCCGCAGTTGTCTCAATTGAATCTGACTTCTGTGTGTCTACTCAGTGTGGCGGACATTTTCCTAGTGATCAGTTGTCTGGAGACGCAATGTAGTCAGAATGGGTAGCAACCAACAAATCAGTAACACTCCGTTATAACAAAAATAACAGAAGTAATAAACTTCGCGAAATAATTGGTAATAATGGCGCAGAAAAATTACTAGTATCCTACTGGGAGCAGAATGTTATTGTTATTCATATCACATAGAAAGCAACTTCTATAGTACGTTTTAGTAGCCACTTATCTCTTACTTTCAAATTTAATGCAGCTCAGCAATCTTTCGAGAGTTTTTGTCTCAAAACCAAATGTTGATAAGACAGACCAGATAAATATTATGTGTCTTACAGATAACTATCACTTTAAACTGTTAAGTAGTAGCTTCAACCTTACATAATCATCAGTTTTGGAGAATAGCAATGATGGCTAGGAAGAAGAATAGGATTATTCAGAAGAGTCACTTAAAATACAAATAAGTTGGTAGATTTATCTGGAATCGTAAAAATTAACAAAGTGAAGATATAGTTACAAGGGCAGTTAAAAACTCCTTTTTAAAATCTCAATACATATCATGTTGTTTGCTACGGCAAAGAAAGCGGCTGTACAAATTTCTTTTGAACTCACAGATATGGCTTGTTCAAATGAATTCCGATGGCCTCTTCCGCATGTAAAAGCCGTACGCGTAGACCATGCGAGAGGTTGGGTGATATACGATAAATAACCTTGAAAGCTTTGTTAGAGTCAATTTGATGTCCAGTATCGACGAGATGACAAGGAATAATAATCGACGAGATGAACTTGTAGTTAGTTGCACATAGCTTTATTCGGAACTTTGCCAAACCAAGTTGGGAAGTGTTCAGAATTTCGATGATGGACTTGCCTGATCGTACGCCCCGTTTAACTAGCTCCGCACGCGCAGTTAAACTAGTAAATACACATGGAAGGGGCCAACCAGGGTAGTCTGTCTTTGTTACATGAACGAATATACAGCATAGCTTGGCTGCTTTGAAAGTCTTTCTGAAGACCCTTCTCAGACGTTGTGATAAGATCTCACTATTGACATCACCCGTGAATTATAACCTTAGGAAGACTGACTTTGTCGAGACAGTCGGCAACATCGACTTTTTACTTCCTGAGTTCATGTGTTTCTTCACGAATTTAGTTGGATATTCGTTTCTGCTTAGCAGATCGCAAATGTTACCGAGTTCTTCGTTCAGCGTCTCATTTGAACAGATAGTTCTAGCCCGCTGATGCAGACGTCTAACCAGATCATCTTTGTACTGTAGAGGTACGAAGCTCAGGAAGTGAGTATATTGTTCAGTGGGAGTAGGTTTCCTAAACCAACGTCTACATATTGTTTCGTCTGTTCGTTTAGTCATCGGGACATCCGAAAAGGGGATAGAGTCATTTTCTTCTTCTACCTTAGTGAAGCTTATGCTGGGATGTGCTCTACTGAATTTATCCAATATGTCCTTAGCCTCACTTTCTTTCTTAACAACTATAAACGTATCATCAACATATCGACAATAGAAATCAAGATTATATATTACATCTTTAAGTGGACTATTCTCTAGTTTCGCCAGGGAAAATTCTCCTAGGATTGGGCCTAGTGGTGATCCCATGTCAACATCATCTAACTGTCTATAGCTTTCTTTATTGAACAGGGAACTTACGTTCATTGTACACCTCAATAGAAGTTCCTTTAGGGAAGACACAGGAATTCCGATCTCTATGCCTTGCTTCATCAATTCACTACCTATGTGATCAATTGTTTCCATCAAAGGCGCATTGGTGAATAAGGAAGATGCGTCCAGTGGATATCAGATATTTGTCCTTCACATTCAATTCCTTGATTCCTTCTACAAACTCAGAACTATCTTTTACGCTATTTTTCACAAGTTTCTTATGCAACGGCTGTAAAATTTCCACTAGCCATTTCTCAGTTGAATGGTATGGTGAGCTAGACATATCGAGGACTGGTCTAAGTGGCAAGCCACTTTTGTGAATCTTCGGTAAGTCGTACAACCTGCGTATCACCATGCCTACAGGTTTTAGTATTTCATACAAGGCAGGTGAAACATGGCCTTGTTGTCCCAACTATTTTTAAGACTATGTTTCTGAAATTTGCATGCATCACTTAATAAAGTGTCCATTTTGCTAAGGTAATCAGACTTATCCATGATTACGACTCCTGAGACATTGTCGGGTCTGGAGGACACTATATTCTCAATAGCTTTCAATTTCCTTAAAGCCTCTTGATGCCTTTCGGTTAAAATACCCTTTGTATTACCTCTACTATTCATGTATTTGTAACAACAATCAACCAAAGTTGCCTTGGATCTGTTAACCTCCTCATCTGATGAAGGCGTTAAGTCTTCAGTCTGAGCATAAAGGTTTTCAAATTGAACTTGTATGTCCATTTTATTGACTTTTATATTACTATCACAAAATTTAAGACCGAGAGATAAGACTTCTAAATCCGTCATATCAAGGACCACACTAGAAAAGTTGTGGACATGCCTTTCTGGATTGGGAGGAAAACGTGCTTCTGGTGTCTCATTGTTGAGGCCTAGAATAAGCTGGGATCAATTCTTTTCTCTTCTTCTGTTAACAACATCGTCCACATACTGCAAGAACGGCTGTTTCAAGTCGTCCGGAAGTTCTTCTACGGCGTAGAACCTCTCTGCAATATTCTTTGTCAACTCAGTAACACATCAATTCAAAAAGTCAACCTGATTAAGAGCATGAGGCTTAAGTGTTCCTGCGTTTGGACGTACTCGAGAACGGCGTAACGATTTCCAGTAAGCTTTCGGGTAGCGGACTGTTGCGATACATTCATGAATAAAATCTATAGACTTCTTCGTTTCACTGAGCCTTGTGCTATACTTCAGATACTCATTGAGGATCTTCAACGCAAGACGGTTCTCAGTAGACTTCAGTAATTTCCAAATTCCCATTTACGCATCTAGAGAAAACAACAGATTGAGCGGAGAAATATATTCCTTTTCAATTAGTTCCTCATCATCGGCTCTACACTAATATATAGTGTTTTACATCAAAAGTTTTTACCAATCAAGTGGTTATTTTAGTTAACCAGGTTTAAGTATATGCAGGGGTGAAATCAAGAAGCTAAAGATCATCAAAAGAAATACCTAACAGGTGTTAGTAACAAGATATCTAAGTTTTGAAAGATGGGTGAAAATTAATTAGGGATGTTGATGTACCACGTATATTCGGCATTTTCTTGCTGGGGAAATTCAGCGTAACGTTTTGTCACATGACGTCGTAGCACCTGTAGGCATTCGACGGAAAACATAAGACACAGTTCTGGAAGATAGGCCAGTCGGACTGTCGACCTTAGAGTAGTAGTTTGTAGGGAGAGGCTGATATAGGGCCTCCAAAACACAGCATGCTACTAGCACTTGATTGGAGCCGGAATCCAGGTGGTGTCTATATCATCTTCATGATTTGTATGTCTTTCCGCATCTATTGAATAATCAATTCGCTTCCGTATTTTTGACTAAGTTTCTCCCTCTCCATTTGTGCTCCAGCCTGCTCTCGAAAATTGTTTCGAAAGCGCCACTAGCCTCCTACAATGTTACAGTCTGTCGGTGTGCAGTCTGAATAGTGATTTCGATAGGAAATTCGGCCTCTAAAGCACCTAGATGTTGACGGACTGGAAGAGTTGCAAGGACATGAATTCGGTGAAGTCAATGGAATAGCAGACGAATGCCATTCAGATGGAAAATAAAAGTCACGCCTTCACCATACCACGAAGCGGTGCTCCATCAGCGTAAGCCAGCTAAAATATATCGGTGAAAGGCTGAGTATTAGGAAGCCGTCGAGTTCAGGAATACGTCCATTAATATCACCTAGTGCTCATCCTGTCCCGAAGGGTATTGTTCACCATGATTATGAAATCGAAGAGCACAGGTGTAGCTCATCTTTTGGAGGCAATGCGAAGAAGATATTAGATTGTGAAGAAAGTTGCAGGGGTTAAACGCAAAGCGAACAGATACATCGGTTGCAGGACCAGGTATTCGACAACAGCCTAACAGTTTATAGCTGGTCCATAGATAACAAGGGTGACACCGAATCCTTCACACATTTTAGGGTGAAGCAAAGGTGCTCCACATATAGAAGAAAAAATAACTTCATTATATTTCGTCGGTTCTTTACAACTGCATACAACCATAAAAAATTTAATATCAGTATACAAAATATTCAAATACTCTAATTATTTGTCACAAATAAAAAGGATAATTGTGTAGAGTTGTTAAATGCCATAACGGAAAGGAACGAAAGTTGTTGCGCTTGTCAGTGTGCATAAAAATAATCATAGAATATTCTAGAATTAAGGACGAATGTTTCAAATAGAATAAAGGCATAAATCGACAAAACATCTAAGTACGGGTTAAGTAGTTTAATTAAACAGAGGGCAAGAAGTAGTCCGGTCAAGAGTGTAGATGAACAAAAAAATAAAGAATGTGGAAATACATTGTCAAGGCAAATTTAATTGGAACAACAAAGCTGAAGAAACGAAAATTATATTCACCCTGGCGATGTCCCGACCGATAGCTGCTACCTTGACGTGGTGGTCAGTCTTGCATTTCACAATGATCCAACAAGCTACACTGTCTGGAACTATTGTTCCTGCAGGTCTTACGATGCCACGGAGGTTGTTAGGATGGCGATTGGACTAAAAGCAGTTACCGACATAGTGTAATAATTTTTTTACACTATGCTGGGTGTCTGTGAGCGAAGTTGTACTGCTGGGGAACAGGGATTTAACAGTAGTAAGGTGTTTCCCTCAGATGACCAACATGCTAGCTATGCCATCTCTCCATTCTGGTGAGAGCCGCTTAGAAAATGTCGACCACAACAATTGTACATCCCGACTAACCCTACGGTGGTCCGTAACCGGCGGTAAGTTTACTAATACGGAACCAATACAAGAAACCAGTTCATACAGGCCGTGTGTGACCGGTCTCAAGCAGTTGTCCCCTGGGCTCTGCGGTCACGCAACACTAACCCTCGTCCTGTTTCAGGTACCCGAAGAATCAGTCATCTTCCACGGTGTGGGCAGCCGGGAAGTAACAACCGCCCACACAGTGAGTCACCCGACCGATAACTGCTACCTTGCCGTGGTGGTCGGGCTTGAATTCCGCAGTGACCCAACAAGCGAAACTGGCTGGGACTCATGTCCCTGCAGGTCCCCCCATGTCAG